TATCAAATATCATAATTTAAATGACACAAAAAAAATGAGTTTTTGAACAATAAGGGAATTTTTTTAAAAGATTTAAATAGATATTTGAGTTTGTCCATTAGAATACTATATATCAAATTTGGACTCAAATTTGAGTCATGGCTAGAGATGCTTTAAATATTTTGGTAAGGATTTGAGTCTCCTTTGATTTGAATAAAAAAATGAGCCTCCCTTGATTTAATACAAGTTTGAGTCAAAAGTTAGAACACAACTTTTGGGTTTTTTTTACTCAAATTTAAATTTGAGTCTAAATTTGAGTTAAGGTTGAAGATGTCTTAGTGAGGCGAGATATTCTTTTTTTGTGGTGGGGCAAAGTTCACATATGGAAGAAATATACCAAAATTCTTAGCAACACAAGTAATATCACTAACAAGATAAAGGTTGTACAAAAAATACTCAAAAAATCAACCAATACCATGGTGGCATTATTTAGTGATGCAAAAACTGAAAAAATAACATATAAATCAAGGTCTCATCTTTCATGAATTTCTGTTAAAAAGAAATAAGTTTGTAGAACAATATCTCAATATCAGAGAATTTGGTCTTACTTTCTATTGGTAGTCTTTTCTCCCATAAATAACCAAAAAAAGGTAAGGGAAAAGAGGGGTCATGCCCGGACTTGTTTGCACTGAGATAAAGAGAAAAGAACATTTCCATTGAATTTTTGCTTAATTTCATATTTGAAGGTGATAGAGGAAGAAGGGGTTCATGGAGGACGGAGAGGCCGTCGTGCAGATTTTGTCTTCTCCGCAATCTTTAGATGAGATTTTGGGAAGATTTATAGAAAAGAATTGTGGGTCCCTTATTATAGTTGTAAATCAGATAAGCCATTTTGTTTTTTTTTTATGTTTATTGACAGAGTAACTGATTATTAAAAAGATGGTTATAGGTCTTCTACTAGAGTGTTGTTCGCGCATTGTGTCGTTTATTTACCAGAGAAATAATATAGTGCAAATGTTTGGGTCCCTTTTATGAATAATAAAGGGAGGCTACGGTATCGAAATACCTCTAAGCTTTATAATTTTTATGTGTGTTTTTATATTTTTTAAGAGTCATTTTATGAGTCAAATTATAACTTTTAAGGTTTGAATTACAATTTTTAAGACTAAGTTATAATTTTATGTGGTAGCTTTGTGATTGATCACAACATTTTAAGATCAATTGGAAGTTACCACGAAAGTTGTAAATGACCTTTAAAAGTTGTAAAAACACTTATAAAATTTGTTACAGTAGTAGTATGGTACCAATAAATTTTTTTGGGTGATGTGGAATGACGAGTTCAGATCTAACTAGGTCATACTTGATTAATGAGATAAGCTCAAATCAGCAACAATGCATATCAAGCCCACCTCATGGATCCAGCCTAGTCCAAGATTCAAGAGACCCAAGAAGTCAACATACGTAGGGAGTAATTACCGAGATAACAACTGTTTGAAAATCAAGACCATTTTTAATTATACCTATCTTTAGTTGTAGCTACCCTCTCCGAAGAATCAGTCATCTATTATCCTATCACGCCACCACCTCAACCAAGACTCTGTGCCTATAAATTGTAAGTTCTTTCTACATGAGAGGGACATCTCTACATCTCACACACAACTATCTCTCTTATAGCTAACTCACCACACCTAGAGTTTACTCGTGTTTTCCCCTCAACTACTTTATCAATAAAATATTTCGGTCACCATTGCCGCCTTCAAAGTGGAGTAGGCAACTCTGACCGAGCTATTTTATATATGTGTTGCTTGTGTTGATCTCTTCTTTATATTTACTACATTTATTACTCATATTAATTACTTGATAAGTGGTGCATAAATTTACTTTTGTGCATCATCATGAAATTCTACCAAAAGATTTCGTCTAAACAATAACTTTTTACTAATTTATCTATGCAAGTAAAAGAAGAGTAATGTTATTTATACCTAAAAAATTGACCTAATTTTATAATCTAATAATGTGGCTTCAGTGGAACCCTTGAATTAATACCAAATTTTAATTTTTTTATGGGCCCCGCAGTCTGTCAAAATATCATAATAAATTAAATCAATAAAATAAATCCGGTCCTAATAATATTACCCCTAAAAGAATAGCTATTTGATACACACACAAAATAAAAATAAATGCAGTCCATGTGGTTCAACAGTTTTGCTCTTTTATAGAATATGTTCTAGTAAAGGAATGGGTAAATTACAATTACACTCCCTAAACTATCACCCTTTTTCTACTTTTTCCCTTCAACTACCAGATTTCTCATATTGCACAGATTCTATAAAACAATGTGAGGGAGGACTGATTCTGCCCACATTAAGACGATATGATCATTGCGTCCCCAAATTTTAACTCCTACTGAAACTCAACATGCAAAAGTTTATGGACAGAGGGCAATTCATGTATCTCCATTTTCTGTATATTTTTTTCGAAAATTCTCACTCTTTTGAATAGAGTGAGTGAGATTTCTTTTCAATATATTATTTTTTTAATTTCATTCTTAACGAATCACCTATCATCCGGGGCGGACCTAGACTCCAACTCTAGTGGGGGCAACCTTCAATATATGAATACTAAAACTTGGAGTATTAACACTATTTTACTAAATTATAGTTTCATCAAAATAACATATACAAGCAATATACAAAAAGAGTCGACAAAAAAAGTTCACTATAAAATTGTACCAAACAAATACTTTTGTATCAAAAAAAAATAGTGCCCAATAATGAATTGATTCAATACATTGAAAAATCCAAATTCTTGAAAATCTTCATAATTGTTTCAACAAGCTTTCACAAATAGTATTTGAAAGTTATTTCTCAACATATGCAACCAAGTAATCATTCATCAATTGATCTCTCAATTTTTTACTATGTTTTTTGCTAAAAAGTATTTATCGAAAATAATTCATTATTCAATCCCAATCAATTAAAATAGTTTAGGAAGTCAAACAAATTTTAACATAAATACAAGTCTAGTAAATCAAACTTAAACATACAAACAAACCTAATTTCTCCAAACAAATTTCTCAAGCCCATTGAGCCAAATGGTTTAATTCAAAAAATAGTTCATAACATGTAAATTCTAAATATGACAACTTGTAATTTTTTATATTAATTTAACATATAAAAATAGCACAACAAAAAAATATATATAGCTCTAATTAGGGAGACCAAATTCGGAATTGTAGGAGTGAAGTTCTTGAAATCACTATGATCTCTGAAAAGTAAAGTAAAAAAAATTTTTTGTGGTTGTTAAAGACTATAGAACTCCACATGTTTGAGAAAATAGATGATTAGTAGGAGTGTAACTCAGACGGGTTTAGAGGTCAACCCTATCCCAATTCTAGGAATATAATCTTCAACCCTAAATCTAACTCTAACTCTACCTCAACTCGAGTACTGCTCGAGTTTAATTCGAGCGGGCTCGGGTTGAATTCAGACTACTTAATTTTGGTTGATTTTTTAAAGTATAGATTAATTTTTTCAAGTGATCTGAGATGAAGGGCGAGGCGTAGATGAAGAAAGAGAGAGTCAGAGGGGGAGGAGTGATGAGTGAGAGAGGCATTTGGGAGTGATAGAGGTGCAAAGGTAAAAACTTGAAATGAAGTAAAAGTTTGGACTTTGAAGAATAAAGATAAATATTAACCTTAGTTAAATATATTTATATATTTTTATATATTCGGGTTCAATCCAATTTAAAATTCAGGTTCAACCCGATTTTAATATTCAAGTTGAACTCGACAACCCGAGACTTGCCCAATTCAATTCGAGTTGGAGCTTTTTTGCCTAGACTCAACCCAAGTATTAAAAATTCTAACTCAAATCTTGTTTTTTCGGGTTGAACTTGGATTGAATTAGAGTTGGCCCGCCCAAGTGACACCTCTAATGACTAGTCTAGAGTTTAAAATATTTTCACTGCGGACAACTTAGAACAGATGCTAAAATTTCAAACATTTCACCTTACTCCTCAAATATTTTTAAAATTTCAATGGGAGCAACTTTAAACATATTCTAAATTTTCACCTTACTTTCCAAATGTTTTTAAAATTCCAGTGGGGACAGTTGCCCCCACCGTAAATCTGTCTGTGCATTTAAATGAGATTCATTATATACAATTAGACCCCTCATGATTTATTAATGGTAGATGATCGGTCAAGAGAAAAAATTAAAGGAAAATTTATTGGAGGGAAAGGAAATCCTTTTGAACGAGTTGGTAGAAGGAAATATCTTTTTCAAGCATCTCAGTGGGGCTATGAGCCTTCAATGAAGTGTAACAGAGTTATATCTAGGGAAGTCTGATATTGCCAGGGACTGGAATAAGCATCCCATGGCAGAAGCATATTCTAAGAATTTTTTTTAGAAACACACACACACGATATGGTAGTGTCAAATGTTGAGCACACCAAATGAGAAATTGCCACAACATTAACTTATCCGAGAAGTTGATTTTTTTTTTTTTAAAAAAAGTTCTAATAATTTGATGGATGATAAACGTTCATCGGAGATATACAATAATTTAAGAGTAATGTTATACAGACTTAACATTTTCATGTTCCCCAGAAAAATTGCTCATCCATTAAATGCATCCTTGGCAATATCATTATTATTGCCTTTTCTTTTCCTTAACGGTGAAGTTGACTTAGGTTGGGTAGGCTTTACGTACCTCTCATCCTCAAACTTAAAAGTCTTGATATATCCAAAACCAATGTCTCAAAAAAAATATTCTTCTTGGCTTAACAACTTTGCCTTTCTAGGCCTATACGTTAGCCAATGGCCCCCCTCCAAGTCTCCATCAAAATTTTGCTTACAAGCTTTGATGTACAACTCATTCACATCTCTTCTACCTAATCACTTACAACCCTTCTCCTCTAACAAACTGATAGCTTACATTTACATCCATATAAATGTCCCATATGTTGATCACCTCCATGTCCATTCAATCAACACATCATATGATCATAACTGACGAAAATGGCGAACTGGGGTAGTTTCTTTTCTGGGGTAGCATTTCTACTCTTGGGGGTTCTATGGCTTTTTTCTCAGCCAGCCGTGGCTGCCACAAAACAATACCAGTTTGATGTAAGTTGTCTTATTGAGCTTACAGTGTCTTCATTGATATTATGCTTGTTTTGGTTCCTCAATTTGATCGCATCCTCTTGTTTTTCAGATTCAAGTGAAAAATATAAGTAGGTTGTGCCATGCAAAACCTATTGTAACAGTAAACGGGAGGTTTCCAGGGCCTACGATTTATGTTAGAGAAGGAGACAGAGTTCTTGTCAACGTTTCCAACCATGCACAATATAACATGTCCATTCACTGGTGGTGTTTTTACCCAATGTTTAAAATTTGGTTTTCGAAAACGATGCAAAAATATTTTGGGAATAAATAAAAGAATTTAAAAATTTTATTGAGAAATATTCGCCTAATCATTTTTAAATATCACTAAACATTCTAAAACATGAGAATTTTTTATCGTGATTCATTTTACTTTCCACCGACACCAAAAATAAAATGTACATGCAGTTTTATTTCTTGGTTTACCTTATTGTAGGCATGGATTGAAACAATTTCGCAACGGTTGGGCAGATGGACCAGCTTATATTACACAGTGTCCAATCCAGACTGGGAGTAGCTATGTGTATGATTTTAATGTAACAGGACAGAGGGGAACACTGTGGTGGCATGCACACATTCTTTGGCTAAGGGCAACAGTCTATGGAGCAATGGTCATAATGCCAAAACAAGGAACTCCATTTCCATTCCCACAACCACATAGAGAAGAAATTATTTTGTTAGGTTGGTTAAAACTAAGAGAAGATTTCATTACAATTTCGCAGTTGTAATCTAAGCAAGCATATGTAGTTGTCTACAACAAATGTTGTTTGTGTGCGCAGGAGAATGGTGGCATGGAGATGTGGAAAAAATTGAAAAGGAAGGAATCAATTTGGGTTTACCTCCTAATATGTCTGATGCACATACAATCAATGGGAAGCCAGGGCCACTCTTTCCTTGTTATGAGAAGCGTATGAAATATATCCTAAAATTGCTTTAAGCCACTTTATGATATATATATATATATATATATATATATATATATATATATATATATATATATATATATATATATATATAATAAAGTACAATACAATTCAAATCTCAAAAATAAATAAAATGACTTATTTTTCGCAGTTGAGATCTATTTAAATTTTACTTTAAAGTTAATCCAACGACTAATATTAACACCCTAAATTTAATAGAGAAAATAGGTTTCTAAGAATGTGTTTAAGGTAACTTTTTAAAAGTGTTTTTAACACTTATAACTTATTATAACTACTTTAAATAAAAAAAATTGTGTTTGAAACCGTCTCACCACCACCACACTACTGTCACCCCACCACCACAACTACTCCACCACCACAACTACTCCACCACCACCACACCCACCGCCCCACCACCACCATCACCACTACCACTACCACTACCACCACCACCACCACCGCTGCAGCCATCATATTACTACCATCACCTCTGCCACAACAACCACCACCATCATCGCTATAACCACCATTATCGCTACCCCACCACCACCACCACCACCATCCCTACTACTGCCACCCCACCACCACCACCATCCCTACTACCGCCACCCCACCACCACCATCACCCCCACCGTCCCACCACCACCACCATATTGTTGTCCACCATCACCCGTCATTGCCAACCACTATCACTCACTCCCACCACACTAATCACTACCACCCTTCATTGTCCACTACTATCGCCACCCACTATCACCCACCTTCACCACACTTATCACCATCACCATTCGCCACCACCCATTATACTATCGCACAGAAGCATCTATCATTGCCCACCACCACGGCCACCATAACCGTCATCGCCTCACTACCACGAATGGCAACAACCATCGTTGTCGCCTACCACCATCACTTACGACTATCACTACTACCATCATCATTGCCACCACCACCACAGTTATTACTATCTACCACAACCATCACAGTCTCCTACCACCACCACTGCGGCCCACCACCTCTCACCCCCACTACACCGACATTTAAATTATTTTCTCTCTGCTCTATGTTTGTGATTTAATTTTTGGATGTGAATGCAAATATGTTTATTGTTGACCATTTTTTATTACTCTGTATCTTTAGGCACAAGTAATAACTAGTATATATATTTAGAGAGAGCAATTTGAGACAGGAACATAGTTGAAGGGGCTAAAGAATAATTTGTCCATACACTTTCCACATCCAACTATGTTTATTGATTTCACACTACCCTAATTGCAAACATTTGAAACGTGCTTTATATATATATATATATATATATATATAGAAATGGACGTTTGATTTTGGGGCAACGTGAAACCAACTCAAGTAGTTGAAGTGAGTAATATGAAAATATACAATAGTTGAGTCAAAATATGACATAATTGAGGTGATCAAAGCATAATATACATATATAGGCTGTTGTGCTTTATGTTATGTAATAGCTAATCACTGGATTATTATGTTTCCTTTTTTCCAGATACTTTTGCAATGGAGGTTGAACAAGGGAAAACATACCTATTGAGAATCATCAATGGTGCACTCAACGACGAGCTTTTCTTTGCAATCGCCAACCACAACATGACAGTGGTGGAGATTGATGCAGTCTATACAAAACCCTTCACAACTCAGGCTTTACTAATAGCACCTGGCCAGACAACCAACGTTCTGGTTAAAGCCAACCAAATGCCTGGAAGATACTTCATGGCAGCAAGGCCTTTCATCGACATTCCGTTTCCGGAAGACAACAAAACCGCCACCGGAATCCTCCAATACAAAGGCATCCCAAATACAGTTCTTCCAACACTTCCCACCTTGCCTGCACCTAATAACTCAGCATTTGCATTTGCATATAACAAGAAGCTTAGAAGCCTAAACTCTCAAAAATATCCAGCAAATGTTCCCCGAAAAGTCGACCGAAACCTATTCTTTACAGTTGGTTTGGGAAAGAACCCTTGTCCAACATGTGTGAATGGAACACAAATCACTGCTTCTTTGAATAACATCTCTTTTGTGATGCCTAAAATTGGGCTTCTCCAAGCTCATTACTCCAATGTAAAAGGAGTATTTAGAACTGATTTCCCTGACAAGCCTCCTATTGTTTTTAATTACACGGGAGCACCTCTCACAGCCAATCTTGGCACCACACAAGGGACAAGACTAAGTAAAATTGCTTTCAATTCCACAGTTGAATTGGTTTTACAAGACACCAACCTTCTAACAGTTGAGTCACACCCATTTCATCTTCATGGCTATAACTTCTTCGTTGTTGGAACCGGAATCGGAAACTTTGATCCTGCAAAGGACCCTGCTAAATATAACTTGGTTGATCCTCCCGAGAGAAATACAGTTGGAGTTCCTACTGGGGGTTGGACTGCTATAAGGTTTCAAGCCAATAATCCAGGTATATTCTCTATGTTCTAAAAATTACAAAAAGGAAAAATTACACTTTGACCCCCAAATTATGTCCCTCCTTTTTTTTCGGTAAATATGTCCCTCCATTTACATTGTCCCCAAAACTATTTATTTTTTCTCAACTTTTGGTAGCAAATCATGCTAAAAAGTAGGATCGCACAATGTTAGGAGACGTGAGTTTTCTTTCCTCATGGGCAGAATTCTACTTTTTCCTAGATTTGCAATGCAAAGTTGTACAGAAGTTAGCGAAGGGCAATACAAAACTCAAACCAATAGTTTAAGATGCACTATGATAAAGTTGATAGTATAAGAAGCTAAGTGAAACGTGAGGTATAGTTTAGGGTGTCTAAGTATAATTTGCTCTTAAAAAATGTTCTATATTTTAATATGAGTAATGCTACAAAACCTAAATCAAATAAAAAAATTGCAATCCAAATACATATTATCTCTTAGATGAATGAGCTCCATCAACTTTTTTAGTAGAATCCACTCTTCCAATATTCATTCAATAGATCATATACATTTGGGTTTTAATTTTTGTGTTCATTTAGGTTATGTTGCATTTTCCTTGTAATATTGACCTTACCGACCTTGAACTCATCATCAAATTAAGAAATAAACTAAATAAATATTAAAAAAAAAAAAACTAACTAAAGATTAGATAACGAAACAAGATAAATTTCAGAAGAAAGTGGTTAAGTCATAAATTTCATTCGCTGCATCTATGTTCTTACACAATATTGTGTAGGTGTTTGGTTCTTGCACTGTCATTTGGAGCTCCATACCGGGTGGGGACTGAAAACAGCATTTGTGGTTGAAGATGGACCAGGATCCGATCAAACCATTCTGCCTCCACCGAAGGATCTTCCTCCATGCTAGCTCTCCTTGGTTTACTTGTAAAAATTCAATGTGCACAAGTATTTTATGTTAGAGCTTCAGTGTTTGGACTTTCTGCAAAAGTTGCAGAAAACTGTTTGAGAAAAGACTTGAGACAGTCGGAAAAAATAAGGAAAAATTAAGGAAAATAGACACAATCGTTTGGATTTTGGATGTGTTAAAATTTCAAGTGTAATAAACTTAAGTAATGCCACAAGATTCAGTGTTATGTTACCACCTTGTCTTAATGGAGTGTTATCGCCTTTGTTTTATGAATGACTTAGATTTTTTAGAGAATAGATTTTACAAGAAGCATGAAATCCTTTCAATTCTTGTCCAGCAAGTTACTTAGTCTTTACTGACAAATTTGGGACATAAACATAGAAGGGGCAAACACAAAGCCCCTCATACCTAATTGTTGTAAAGACTACTGAGCTAAAGGATCTGTGTGCACGGCGGAGTTAGAACTTTTGTCTAGTGTGGTGCCAATCTCTTACTCATTGTTAAATTACTATCATAATACTATGGCTATTTAATTATATTGCAAATAAGTTAATTAATTTGTCGATATTTAGGTTTAATTAAGGGGTCAGAAGTTCAAACTATAATTTTAAAAATAGAATTTCAAATTCAAGTCTGATTTTAATTCGTATTTGAGAAACGTGTACTCACCATAAAAACCAAAAAGGTGAGTCGCAACATTGAATTGTATAAAAGAAGCTTTTATATAATTTTTAAAAGTTAAACAAATTTTCACTAATATATAAAGAATAATGTTATTTGAACATAAAAAATTGATTTAATATGATGTCAAAATAATGTGGCAGCTATTATAGTCCAATAATATTATTTTAATTGTCATTCGTTGCAACTTGTGGACTTAATGTCTAGAATCTGATATAATGCTCTAATTTCTTGAAGGTCATCCTTATCGAGGTAACTATCATAGTTCTTGGCCCCAATGACTTTGAGAGACGAGGAGCCAATCCCTAGAATGGAGTCAGAGTCCTCGTTGCCCGCATCGGCCTGGGTCACTAACGTAGGAGTACTTTCAGAAAGGGTGTGCTCAGAATCAATCACCATAATAGGAAAGCTACGGAGATTGATGCACAAATTTGGTGGATGGTGACGATGGGGGCTATTAACAACCAAAGACATGCAGAAATCAAGCATAGATTCAAGTTGACCTCTAACAGAACTATCCACAAAGGACTCAAGACAATCAAGAATGAAGTTCTTCCACCTAAGAGAACAAAAGTGACAAAGTGAATCTGAAAAGTATGACTCTAGCAAATATGTTCCAGGGTGAGGAGTTGCAATGAAACAGAAAGACAAAAAGAGATAGAGACAAAGAGATAAGGGCGTACCTGACTTCTTAGAGCTCTCAAAGATGTGCTGGGTAGCGAAGGGAAAAAAGGTTTTACACGTAGGCCCCACAACAACTCTTTGGCGATTGTGTGTGCACGACTATCATTTCCATTTTTCTAGGGTCTAACAAACAAGTGTATTAAATTCATGACACATGCCATCCATTGCTCCGAATTAAGGGGCAACTAATAATGATATAAATTAGGTATGAGCTCAACATGTGAACTTTGTTGCTTGATGGATGAGCTCTATGGCTCAAAAAAGACCTCTGTTCCTTGCTCGCTAACACTCCAATTTGGTAGCTCCCTAGTTCGGGGCACATTTTGACTAATTCAAACCAGTTGAAATATCCACGCTAGAGGGTGCCAGCTTTTGTTCCACTTCTGGTGGTACCTCATTCAAATAACTATTGAGGGCTTTCGGACTGTCCAGTCCTTTGACCTATAAAAAGGTCAAGATGGGCATTATCCAAGTAGGTTAACTATTTCCAATTAAATACAATTTCATTGTATTATTTCCTTTTTGACTTTATCATTAAAGGGTCGACCATTGGAGTCCTTCTGGTCCTCGACTTCCCTTGCAGGAACAGTCTCGTCGACTACCAGATCATCATTCTGATCAACCAAGCACAGTGAACATTTTTTGGGATCGACAATTTATATTATCCTTCTCTAGTTTAAATCAAGAGAATTGTAGCACTGGAATAGACCAAAGAAGAAAGAACAAGCAGGGCAAGGGGTATTTCAGCATGACAAAGTTAATCTTGTTGAGCTGGTCTTAATAGGTAGTGCTGGACCGATCACTTGTTCACTTTTGCAAGTTTTTCCTCTATCAACAGCTAATGACAATTATTTTTGATGATTTAAATATCTGCTATTTTGAACATTCATACATTCTTTTTTTTTTATCAAAACAATCATACCTTCTGGAAAAATAACTACCATGTTTGAATAGACATTATTGTAATTATAAAAGGGCCCTTAATCAATCAAATATATTTCTGTCAGCTTAGGATACCTTTTAGTCTTCTGTAGTTTCCCTCCCTAAAAGACTTGAACACTTCATATCTTTCATTAAAATACTTCTTGGAATCTATTTTTTCCATATTACATGCACAATACATCTCCTAACTCTTTCTTCTTAAGGTATGTTAGATGTATGTACTTTCACGTAGTGCAAATATTAGGCCTAAACCTTCATCAGTACTTTTTCTTCACTTTCTATTTCATATAAACATGACTTCTAATTCTTGTTCTTCAAGCATTTTAATTATCTTTTTAGCACTGAGTCATTTTTTGGGGTGGTGGCGAGGTCGTAGGCAGCGGAGGTAGTGTCAGATTGTACATTTATAGATTGTAGAATAACTAACTAATAAGATAAATTGTTTGAATTTACAAAACACGTGAGCTAAATCTTCGGATCCTTATCAAGTTGTTGTGGTTGTTTATCCTTGGAGATCTTATCATATTGTTGGTGAAGATTATTCTGAACTTGAGCAGTGGCTGGTTGTTGGATGGCTAACGGCACTTGGTGTTTATCTGAACTGGTTTCCTCAATATGCCCCTTCAAACTTAATGGGAGGTGATCACGTTGAGTTTGTCTCGTAGAAGCTGAAAACCTGGGGCAGGTAGCGATTTAGTAAAATTGTTAGCGAGCTGGTCCTTGGTTGAGATGAATCGAACAGTGAGATTCTTGGATGCAACACGATCTCGGACAAAATGAAAATCTATTTCAATATGCTTTGTGCGGGCATGAAAAGCAGGATTGGAAGTGAGGTAAGTTGCACCAATGTTATCACACCAAAGTGTTGGGGCATGCGGTAGAAAGATTCCAAGCTCCCGAATGAGTGTTTGAATTTATAAGAGCTTGGCAGTGGTAATTGCTAAGGAGCGATATTCAGATTCTGGGCTTGAGTGGGAGATAGTGGATTGTTTACGAGAGCTCCATGAGATGAGATTGTTGCTAAGAAAAATAGAGTAGCCACCAGTAGACTTCCGATCATCAGGATTGCCCGCCCAATCTGCATCTAAGAATGCATGAAGGGAGATGGGGGTGGTCTTTCGAAGTAATAATCCATAAGAGATGGTGGCCTTGAGATATTGCAAGATGCATTTCACAGCTTGCCAATGGATTTCAGTGGGATGATGCATAAATTGGCAAACTTTGTTAACTGGAAAGGAAATGTTTGGCCTTGTTAAAGAAAGGTATTGGAGAGCCCCAATGACACTACGGTATGTAGATGGATCAGGGAGTGTTGTGCCGTGAAAAGTAGATAAAGATGTATGACTTGCCATAAGAGTGTTGATAGGTTTTGTAGTGGCCATGTTGGTGCGTTGTAGGAGATCAAGTATATACCTATGTTGAGAAAGAAATAAGCCATAGGGTAATGGCATTACCTCAATTCCCAGAAAATAATTTAGACTTCCCAGATCAGTGACAGCAAAATCCACTTGAAATTGTTTGAGCAGCTCATCAATAGCAGTAGGGTCAGAGCATGTGATAATAATATCATCAACATAAATTAAAATAAAGAGCATCATATTGGATTGCCGAAGAATGAATAAAGAGGAGTCAACTTAGAGGATACAAAACCAAGAGCAGTGAGAGTTGTACTAAGTTTAGCAAACCAGGCTCGTGGTGCCTGTTTTAGACCATAAAGAGCTTTGTGAAGTTTGCAAACATGGTTAGGCAAAGAGGGGTGAACAAAACCTTGTGGTTGAGCCATGTATACCTCTTCAATGAGCTCCCCGTGTAAGAAAGCATTTTTAATATCAATCTGACGCATCGACCAGCCACGAGACACATCAATAGATAGAACAACTCGGATGGTTGTAGGTTTAACTACAGGGCTAAAAGTCTCATTAAAATCAATGCTAGGAACCTGATGAAAACCTTTGGCGATTAACCGCACCTTGAAGCACTTGATAGTGCCATTTGAATTCTGTTTGATACGGTAAACCCATTTATTCCAGACAATGTTCATGGTTGGAGAGTAGGGAACTAATGACCAGGTGCCATTCTTTAATAAGGCATCAAATTCTGAGTTCATGGCAGTACGTCAATGGGCATGCTTAGAGGCCTCGGTGATGGTGGTGAGTGTGAGCTCTTTACATGATGCTTCAATGAGGAATGCATAAGGTAGAGGGTAGCACACTGTACCATCATGATGTTGTTTGGGCTTGAATATGTCATGCTGTAAACGAGTGGTCATAGGGTGAAGAACCACAAGTGCAATAGGAGAAGTAGTGGGCAACAACACATTTTCAGTTGGTACGATGAAAACTGCAAGAGAAAGGTTAGTGTTGGGTGACAAGATGGGTGAGGGACTTACCATAGTAGTCTCGTGGGTCGGATTTGAAGTGTGGGTTGAGTTGGGAGAGACAGGTTGACTAGAGAGAGACCCAAGAATAGATGGGGAACCATGAAAGACTGGGAGAGAGATGCCTGTTTGAGACTGAGATGGTTTCCCTATAGAGTTAGTATAGAAAACAAATGGAAAGAGAAATTCGTTGAAGACAACATCACGAGAAATATAAAGTCGCCCAGATTTAAGATGAAGACATTTGTAACCATGATGGGTAAGGCTATATCCTAAGAACACATATTGAGTGGAGCGGTAATTAGTTTTATGTCGATTGTATGGTCGAAGGAAAGGTCGACAAGCACAACCAAAAATTTTGAGAAATGAGTAATCAGGAGTTTTATGAAAAAATTTCTCAAATGGGCTTTGGTTGTTAAGGGTGGGAGTGGGCATGCGATTTATTAGATAACATGCAGTCTCAAATGCATCTACCCAATATTGAGGAGGAACAAATGCATGGGCCATGAGGGCAAGCCCTATCTCAACAATGTGACGATGTTTACGTTCTATGGATCCATTTTGTTGATGGGTATGTGGACAAGTAAGAAGATGGGTGATGTCGTGTT